TCAGGCCAGGAGATGGATTCACAGAATTACACATCAGGGTTAGTTGCATAATATGTAGTAGAACCTTAGAGGACACCTATGCCATGATATAGTTTTTAACACGTCATTAAGCTACTTCTATTTCTGAGTTATATGTGATTTATTAGTGGTTAAGTAATTCCTATTTACCCAGTAGATTAGATCTTGTGAAGATAAGAGTTTCTCTAGACTGGTGGAGATAACACTACTGGTATGCTGCTTCTGGAATATCTACTTATTTTCCTCTGTTGTTTTTTGATATATACCACCACTCAGTTGTGTGATATGAAACAGTACGTAATACAGTGCATTTGCATCCACAACTTGGTTTCCTATGCTATAAGATACTATAACAAGTAAGATACTATAACTTGAATGACTGGAAATATCACAGTCCAACAGGATCCCCTAACATATCTGTAATACATCAAGCAGTTGTTGGGTAGTCATTATTACAACCTTCTTAGATGGGAGATTATCCATTATACACATGGAGAAACTACATCAACTACTTACTGCTAACTTGGCAAATTCTTGTCTTTCTGTTCTATGTTCTGTCTGTACTCAGAAACTGTTATTTTTAATTGTTTTTTTCCTGTACTGCTGCTTCTCCCATTTCTTTCTCTCTCAGCTCACATCTTTAGAGCTTTTATTATACACTGCAATTTCAGACAAAGAATTGCATTACAACCAGAAACACACAGGGGCGATGTTGAAAGACTGGTCTGGTTGTAGGTTGCACTTCCACTCTTGCTCTTAAGATGGTAGCCTAAACTTCTGTATGGAATCCATGCACTCTGTTTTTGCCGATGCTAAAGTCACAGAATTTCTCTTATGATTTCTGAAGTGGGAATTTTTTAAGAGCAAAATTTTTATGAGAAGTAAGATGAAATATTTTTGTGGACCGGAGCAAAAAATAGAAAATGTCATTTTATTTTTAAGATTTGATCATATATGTGATTCAGAAAGAATATATGGAACAGAGAGAAATATGCAGTGGAAGAATAAGAGCTTCTGAAATGGTCTGTCAGCCTGTGGCTCTGATGCTGTCCCTAAGACAGCAAAACAGGCAAATCTTTGTGCTGAAATTTGTCCAAGCAAAAGGGTTGCGGCTACTCAATGGCTGTACAATGCTCTGAAGATGTGTTAAGCACCTAGTTATGTTACTTTATTTGTCTACCAGATGCTTAACATGGATTTGGGGGGCAAATATGGAAGGCAAATGTAGAAGAGAATTTCAATTAGTCATAACAATTAAGTTAAGTTTTCTTCCCTTTCCTTTCTCTTCAAAAGCTGCTTTGTTTAAGTTTTCCTGATACCATTCATTACATACTTTTCTGTTCTTGACAGAAACCTTCAAAATCTTTTTGGAAGATAAAAATGTGCAGTTAATATTGTTTCTTCCTTATGTTCAACAGGCTTCCTTACTTTTACAATGCCTTTTATCTTCTCTGTTTCCTGATAATTGCAGTTCACATTTTCATGGATTTTGTGAAAGACTAAGATTACACTTATATATTTTTAGTAACTTTAAAATATCACCCAGCTCTTGCAATTTCTCCCCCTCTAAAGAAACTGTAAGAGAAAAACTCTTGTACTCCCATCCTGATTTGTCACCGGATAAGCACATTGGTTTCAATCCTACATACCTTTAGCACTCAACATTTCCAAGAAGGTTAAAAGGAGTTTTGTGAGAACATGGAATGTAGGGGTCAGGGCCATTCAGAAGGAAAGGAATCCATGCCATGTACTGTGCAAATTATGTCTGTCTCTACTATAAAATTACTTTTGTAATAGCCACTTTGATTTATGTTTGAAAGAAAGAAGGAACTGAAGAGGTGGCTGGGATGAAAAATGGAGACTTTCCTGTAGTCTTTTTCTATAGTTTTTCTGTAATAATTTTTCCTTTTCAGGCATGTTGCTGGAAAAGGTTAGCTTAAGTTCCAGAGTCACCAAAAGCCACTTCATTCATACTCAGCTATTCAGATTTATGCTTTTTTTTTTTTCCTTTTTTTTTTTTTTTAACCCAGACTGGCCTAAAAGAAATGCAATGCACTATAAAAAAGTGTAGAGTAGTGTCTCTGGCAAGATCACAATCCCCAGTGGCACAGTGGGTTCTTGTTCTGTTGTATTTGTAGCGGGTATGTGAAAATAGGAAATCCTTGGTTGTTGCTGAAGTATTTCCACATATTGGCTTACTTAGTTTCTCTAGCTCTACAAAGTGCAGCACAACCTAACTGCGCCATATGCAATATTGAGAGATCCCCTAGAACCATGGGGTGACTGAACTGCACAGAACCAATATCATCCTATCATTGCTAGTCTGCTCCTAATTTTGTGTTGTTAGAACTGTGGTGTGAGAAACACATTTGGCCCAGTCATGCTTTGTATTTCTTCATGCTTACATTGCTACTCATAGCCTATGGACATAGGAAGGAAATTGTGTGTAAGGAGATTTTTGACATCAGCTGTCATATTTGTTAGGTAGAGCCAATCTGGAATCAAAAGACTCCAGGAATCAGGTCAGTCAGAATGAGCCCATGTCAGAAACAAGAGAGGTCAAGATATACGCCGAGAAAAGGCATCACTGGCAGCCAGGATAAAGACCCTGTTTGCAGTAGGAGCCTGGAACAAGGAACAGGTAGAGCTAGAATAAGGTCAGGAGCTAAAGGTAGACCTTGAGAATGAGGGCTAGGAGCCAGAGTCACCGCATGACTCAGAAGCTGTGGAAAGGGATACAAAGAGCTAAAAACAGATAACACATAAATGGGAAACCACATACACCAAAACTGTACAGACTTACAATCCACCCACCAACTACTAGGCCTTATCAGGTCCTTAGTTTCTGACAAACTGTTTACAGCCTCCTTACAGCCTCATTCTAGCAGACTGAAAGTCCAGCAGTGCTTAAGAGGCATGATCTGCTAAAGAGACTTTGGTCCATGCGATGTTCTTACATATTTCATCCCATCTTTCATCTCTGTGTTCTTTTACCTTTGAAAATTACCTCTATCATGAATTACAAGAAAACGCTCTTTTGCGGTATTAAGACTTTATATCCATACAAGTAGGTAAAGGAAAATTATTGAGTCAGATTTACTGCAGTCTGAGGCTATATTGAGAGCTGTAATGAGCCCCCACAACAATGTGGGAAGTCCACCTGTGATACTGGTTTGCAGTTTGAACTTCCCTGGTTGCTGCAGCTGTTGCATTTATGGCTAGCTGAGAACTCTCTCCTCAACCTGCTGTCTGAAGGTTATTCACTTCTTGTACCTTAGAGCTGCTGCCTGGGTGGCAGTAGCACTGCTGCCCAGAAGAGGGATGAATGTGTCACTGCTTGCTTGTCCTTCTGATACCAGTCTTCTAGGGCTTTTACTCCCTGGAGAGTCAGTAGAAATTATTCTCTGGAGAACAGCCCAGGAAAATAGAGATTGTGTTTGTCTATCATAGGCACTTAACACTTCAGTGTTATTTATCTTTCTCAACTTTGAGTGGAGTTGCTTCCCCCCTGCCCAAGAATGTTAGAAGGGATACCTCACTGATACTGTTTAAAAACCCTCACATGCCCCTTATAACATCTGGCTGGTATTACACTCTTACCTCTCAATGTACAAAGTAATACATTTTTCCCATTATGACAGTTTAACTTGACACTTCATACTAGAATTGGACAATTCAATGAATCTTGTATTTTAGGATATGATTTCTTAGGTTTGCCTTAAAACATTGTTTGTTTCTGTGTGATGATTTACTTTTTTATAGGATAGGATACATTGTGAGTTTGCAGAAGTTTGGATGTGAATCCTGGTTTGGTAAGTCTAAGTAACCTCTAAATAAACCAGGACTTTTAAAGACATGACTCAGCCCTATTGCTTTACATACTTTTCTCCCTCACCTACTGATTCTGCCTAGGTCCAGGCACCTGAACAGAATCCTTTTCCACAACAGCAGGACTAAGAATGAAGGGACATTTCTCTTGATTCAAGATGCAAGAATATTAGGACAAGTCTTCAGGGACAGAAGATTGGAAAGTAGGAGCTTTTTTTTTTTTATTTTCTTTTTTCTCCCACATAGCTTCCAGCTTCTTCACAAGAAGAAGGATATCTCCTTCTCTTCATTTTGATGTTTTGTCTACTGCTTTACAGACACTCCCCAATGACCTTGATGATGTTTTTCTATATGAAAAACTAGTTTTTGTTAAATAGAAATTTTCATTCCTTTCCTAAATAAGCTTTTTCTGGAAGAAATGTGAAGAAATGTGAAGAAACAATGAGTGATTGTAGAACATTAAAAGAAAACAAAATATGCAAAGCTTACACATTAATCTACATAAATTCTTCTTCCAACTTGTGAAGTGATTTTACGCAGAGAAGGTGGAGTCTATAATGATAATTCCTTTAATGGGATTTGCAGACAGCTGGGGTGGGAGGTGTGTCCTCCTCTATACTACCTTCCCAGAGTGCAGTGTCTTTTAGGGCACGTTCCCACATGTTCACTCACGTAAAAGGTGTTTTGCCTGACTTGTTCAGCTGTTTATTTCAAAATTGCTGAGATGTTTTTTTCCAGAGGAATTCAGAGATACATAAGGAGGATGATTACTTCTAAATTCTAGACTTCAGAAACAAAATACTAGAAGCCTAGGACATTGATTCTGTATGAATTCTTCAGTGCTGTATAGGGTCTTTATGAGTGGTAAGACTGGTGGTGAGCTACTTCTAAATCAGACACACCTTTGGGTTGGGCTATTTTGGAAACTAAGTACTTGATGAGGCTCAAGGTATGGTCTGCTAGGGACAAGTGATTTTATTTTGTGTTTTTACATGTACTTTGATCAGCTGTTTGCAGCTGACGGACAGTCTCCTTGGTAAGTAACAGACTGAGGGTGGAGGAGTCGTGACCTGTACTGAGCCTTCCCTGACTTTTTCCTAAGTGGTGATTGCTGGCTTTCAGACAGCTAGGCAAGAGAGAAAAAGGGACGTGCTATGGGGATACCTTTATTTGGGGATAGCAAGCCCTTCTATTTCCGGATCTGGAATGGACTAAGTCAGAAGTTGCAAGGCAAAAAGTCCTGGGATAAACATCTGGATGAACTCTACTTACTCCAGCAGAAAAGGTACAGTGCATTTCATCCCTCTTGTCTTCCCTTTCTTCTGCTGCTCTCTCCCTGTAGCTGATTCTCACTCTTTTCCCTTAGGCTTTTCTGCTAGTAGATAAACTTTAAACAACCCTGGAGCACTTCTCTCTATCAGATATATTCTTTCAAGGTGGAATGCTTCTGGAGTTCCAATCTTATCTGCTTTCACAGGTGGGTTTACTGGGTCGCAATTGAATTACCCTGAGTGCAGGGCTTCAGTAACAAATGAATAATGTATACTTTTCTCTTTCCTGCTTCATTGGTAAAGTTCACAAGAAAATGCAGGAGGGTTTTTTTGTTGATTTTTTTTTTTTTTAATTATTATTAGGAGCGTGTGTCATGTATATGCTGCAGTCAGCTGAAATTACGGCCTTTTTGCAAGGATTCTGCTTTCTGTCTCTCTAAAGGTTGCCCTTACTGTGGAATAGAGTGGATTCATTGTTGTTCCACATTCTGGTGGTCGGTCACTACCTGGATCAGACTGCTGTTTCTCACCCCCATGGCCCAGGTGTCAACATGTACATTTAGACCTTACATTGTCAAGAACATTGACTGTGTCTTCACATTTAAATAGTGAATCAAGGCTGTTTTTACTGCTGTGCAGAGTTGCTCCCTCCACACACAGGAATTCAGGAATATTTATGTAAATCCAGCTGAATCTGTTTTCCATTGTCTCTTGTCATTTCTGCATGTACAAACACTGCAGTACTCAAACAACAAATTGCTTCCAGTTGCTTGTAAAATTTGTTTTTGCTTTCCTCACAAAACTGAGGAAACATCTAAACATCTCTTGGGACAAAAGGGTGGCTGTGTGGGACAAAATCTATCTATCTGTACGTGTGTACAGATGTATGTATACACACATATACGTATAGAAATAAGTAGGATAGTACCTTCAGAGGGACAAATGTACATATCTATCAAAAAAAGCATATATCATCATCTAACTTCTGAGGAAATATCAAAAGCCTGTTCTTTTTTACTTCAGAGCAGTGGGACTTAAATACACTTAAAATGGGAGAAACAGTGGGAACAATAGTGTCTCCATAGAATGCTGACGTGTTTACATCTTGGTATGTCCATGAAAAGCATCACAGGTAACTTAATAATAAGTTCTCAGCAGATTCTGTAATATACAAATGAATGTGTGAAAAGTCTAAATATATTAATATTTTTATAAATATAAAATACAATTTTAATAAATATATATTCACATTTTTAAGTCATAGAGATGTGGAAGGGACCTCTGGAGATCTCTATCTAACCTCCTGCTTGAAGCTGGACTATTGCCAGCAAGAGATCATGTTTCTTTGGCTTTGTCTAGCTCAGTCTTGAAAGCCTCCTGGGACATGGATCCCACTGTATGTCGGTATGTGTTACAGTGCTGTAGTAACCTCCTCAAGAAAAGTTTTTTCCTAACGTTCGACCTGAACTTTCAAAATCATCATTTTATGCTATAGCCCCTTGTTTTACCATCTGCTGTTGCCAAGAAAGATTTGGCCCCTTCCTTTTTGCTGCTCCCTTTCACATAGGCTGCTGTTAAACTGCCCTTCAACCTTCTCTTTGCTCGACAATCCTAATTAGTCATGTGCTGCAGGCCCATGAACAACTTATGTGTTGCTACTGGTAGATGAAAACAGAAAAACTCTTAAGCATGTAAACCATTCTTCATAAACTTCTCTTAGATCACTATAGTGCAACCCTAGTGCTCCCCCAAACTAACATTTCTGTGTTTCATTATAAAACTCTGCATAATGACATATGTAGTGCATACGATATCATTGTCTGTGAAATCACAGTTGCATGTGGACACAATTGTTCACTTGCATTTTAGGTCTATGTTTCCCATAGCTTTCAACTGACATAAATTAACCTCTGCGATTTGTTCAGAAATTACATGGTGCCAATATGTGGATACTCTTCCCCTAAAGAGGGGCAGGACCATTTCTCTCCATCTCTCTTATTATCCTACTCTTTCCTTTGTTTTCCTTTCTTGTCCCCAGAGATACTCAGAGTTTGAGGGGAAAGAAAATGAACAACTTGCAGAGGACTGGAATCAGTTTTATTGCTTTCATATTCTCAGTTATGTACTGATAGAAAAACACAACAGGAAAACCTTCTGTGGTGATCTGTGTATGGGAACTACTCTCATAAACCTTTGCTTTTGTGAAAGAACTGTTGTAAGCCAAGAGGGCTTTTACTTCATCCTGTCATTTTGTTGTGTGGAATTGCAGTGTTGTGGCTGCAACTTGAGTTCTTCTTAGTGTTAATGGTGTTGGAATACATACAGTAATAAGAATTAAATTCTATTATTGAAAGCCAGTGGTAAACATCTTATTATTAAACTAGTATGCTCTGACTGCACACAGAAAGTCTGCAAGAGAACAATGTTTTTTCCTGTCCTACCACTGGTGATAATACCTGAAAGCTGTTTTGGTAGTTCTCACCTTCACTGGAATTGCTGTTCATTCTCTTTCTTCATGTGCAATAGTTCTTAGAATCTTATCAGCTGCTGATCTCAACATTATCCACAGTGAGGGATTTCTTTGGCTTAATCCTGCACTATATAACATTTCCCAAAGGGACATCCAAGATCAGGAAATGTGATACAATCTCCTAATATTAAAGAGGAGTTTGAGTTTATTTTGCCTTACTCTGCTGGTTTCTTTCTGTTCAAGACTCTCCTTTTTAAACAGATTATAGGTCAGTGTGGTGTCCCAGGGGCAGTGGTCACACCTCATATGTCCCTTCTAGAATTATCTTTGGAAGTAAACTCCAGGATCTACATAGCCTGGAGCATATGAACATAAAACCCCAACATAGTCCATAATCATGGGGAACAAAGAGGTAAATACTTATGAAAATTTAGGTCTGATAGATGTAAAGAAGAATCACATGCCTGTCACAGTCTAATAGATCTTGCAGAAATTATGAGAGTTATTCCTTGTTTTATTTTTTTTTAGTCTGGCTTTCAGTGTAAACGGTTCTAAGGAAATGTGTAAAAAATCTTCCTAGCATGTAATTTTAGAAATTCTACCGTATGAGAATTTAACTGTTCATTCATACAAAATAATTAATAAATAAATTAGGGCAAGTGAGTACATGGATCCAGGACAATTATGTTCTATTTTTCTTTCTGCTGTTGCCTGCCTCTATGATTTCTGCGTGTCTCTTCTCTCTCACAGCTGCTGCTTAGGGATTAGTGGTATCACCTGGCCTTTGTGGGATGGTCTGAGCCTTAATTAGTCTCATGACAATAAAATATTTGTGTGATACATTAAAAAAAACCTAAAAAAACAAACCAAAACAAAACATTTTTACACATTAATTAGTTGTATAAATCTGTTCTATGAGAAATAATACTTTAGAGACGCTTGGGAAAATTTGCATAACTTGCAGAAAACTATGGCCATTCCAAACATGTCACAGTAAAAACTTTATATCCTCTTTAGTTTCCAAATTTTTTTGTGGTTCTTTAGTCTCACAGACATATTAGTGAAGTGCTTTGATTTGCTTACCCTTAAAACAAACATGGCACAAATAAAAAGTAGCTCAGCCTAATGCTATTAAACTGAGTTGCTTAAGAGCTGTATAGGGACACATAGAGCCTTCAGCTTCTAGACAAATATTTCTTAAGCTGGTAGTGAGAGATGTCACCATAGTTTTGCTGTTCATTTGTCTAAACATTACTGAGTTTTCAGTGTAAAAATTGACATAGGACTGTCTTAAAATCAACAGTGCCTGTCAGTATTAATTGGTTCCTTTGCTCACAAAGGTGACAGTGGAATAAAGATGTCAGCTCCCAGTTCCACCACTTAATTTGTAATATATGTCAATAACAGTGCTTCTGAGTAGTCAATATGCAAAGCCTGTTGGAAACTCTGCTGCTGCATGTAAAATAAAGTCAAAAGTATCACTGTCAGCATTTCTGGTCTTTTCCTATGCTGTTATACCTTCATCCTAATGGAAGTTTTGAGTCTAGTAATGGAAAGCAAGCCTCCTTAATTTCACAAATGTAAAGGTCCTTCAGAACTCACATTTCCCCAACAAGGCACACACATATGACCTCAGTGCCCAAGACATGGCTTAGGCTCACAGATTTAGAAAGCTATTTGCCTTCTTAAACTGAGCTATAGGTTTCCTTGAGAGGAAGTAAACATGAGATTTGTGTTCTGAAAAAAACACACCCCAAATTAAAAAAGTTGTTGGAGAAAACTAATTAAAGGAAGGGTAAGGAATGCATCCCAGAATAAAACTGGCAGAAAATTCCTATTGAAGAAGGTTGGAAGTTTTGATGTAGGATGAGGTTATGCTTCAGAGAACAAATTAGTTTTATGAATAATGCAGTGATAATAAATAATAACTAACATCTGCTGCACTGTTAATATAGTTCTAGCTTGAGATTATTTTTAGGATGGTTTCAGATGCAGAATTTAAAAAAGGAGATTAATGCAAGTAGGTTGCTCTGCTGGAAGTGACTGAGCAAGATTTCTATTGCTTAATGTGTTAGAATGCTAAATATCTGAAGCGATAAGGTTTCCCCATCAGTTTCTTGTCTAGTAGCATCAGCAATTAGTATCCTGTTTAATTTATTTCCAGAGAAGCTCTGTTTACTGTCAACTGAAGGGTCTTCAACATACATGCACAAAAGGTTCCTGTTAATTTGCCTAGTCTTGCTGTCAGTGCTGAAGAAATTTGCTGACCCTGTCCCTGCATTGATTTTCGAAAGCCCCTGTTGTCTGTCTCCTTTTCACTTCATCCTATTACTTCCTAGCTCATTCTTTAGCATCTTGTTAGATGATTGTATTGATCCTCTTTCTGGCTGCTTAGCTTCCTCTGAGCACTCCTCTGCTCTCATGAAGTCTTGCACACATTTCCATAAGCATACTAGCGGAAGGAAGGGAGAAGATGAATCTCTCTTGGCAATTTCATGATGGAGTGTTGACCATGGATATTCTGAGCAGCATAACAAGGAAAGAAAAGAAAACTGAAATAATATACTGCTGATGAATTTATAGGTCAGTTAGAAAGAATTGCTTTAGACCCTCAGTAACTGACATAGTTATGGGGATAAAGCATGAAGCTAGCAGATGCCAAACTTATACTAGAGAAAACAATAGGAAAAGTCCATAAAGTGAATGACTCAAGTTGTAGAATCTGACAAGGGAAGGAAAGAGGAGAAAGAGATGCTCTGTTGCACCTTTGGTGAGCTCAGTCTTGAAAAAGAAGCTTCAGATTGGTTGTTGTCCAGACAGTTCACATATTTAACATATTTCCGTGTTTAAAAAGAATAACCATATAAATCCAAAATCTTCTTATAACAGAGTTAGGACTTATGGACTTGTCCTTGCATTCTTAATCTCTTCATAAGTGTAATGAGCAGAATGCATTTGAAAAGAACTGCTGAAGAAGCTGTAAATCCCAAAGGGTACATATTACCAGCAGAAAGTGCTTGTGAAATCCTTAACCTTGTTTAAAACTATTTTACATGACTCCCTCAGTCAGAATCTGACCTACATTCTATCTTCTCTTTGTTTCACAATGGATTTTCGGGTGTTCCTGATTTTGTCCTCACCTATATTGAAAAACAACTCACAGCTTCCTGAGCATATTGAATCACCTGTTAAGAAAACTGACTGATAGTATTGCATGATCAAGTCTCACTAAGTGTCTCAACACAGCTACATTCCTTAGCTCAGTAAGAAGAACCCAGGAGCGTTCCAGGTGGCTTTCATTGCCCATCAGAACTAATGGTTAGCTATGTGCTTGTGCTTATCCTAAACTGATCCTATAAGGCAACATGAGTACTGCCTAGTATTACAGACCTAACTTAGCTGGTTAAATTAGGAGCTCAGTGTCTCTTGACATGAATGATTTAGAACAGGAGCTTAGATGTGCTGAATTATCTTTTCAGAGTGTTTCTGATGAATCATTCTCTGAAAGCCATCCTCTCCATCCAGTGACATAATGGTACTCTATGGAAACTAAGCATCTAATCTAGGCAGGTCTGTTAAGAGACTAAGCCACAGATTTTACCTGCTGCTGCTTTGACACACGGGATCTAGAATTGTAGAATGTAAAATTCATACTGTGTTTGATGGGTCAGGAACAAAATTGGTTAAACATGCAGAACTTAAAGAAATTAAAGTGTTTGGAAGGTTCTAGATTCAAGTGACTTTGTTTTATTTTTTATATTAGTGAATTTGTCTCACCTAGCACTTGACATTTATATGCTCACCACATTGCTGTAATGTAGTAAAAATGAGTTGATAATTATAATGGTATGTTTTAAATGAGAGTAAAACATTTCCCCAATTATGGGACAGAAAATTAGATGAGAGTAAAAGCTTATGGTATAAACATGTAGGTCATGGACCTTTGAGGCATCAGAGGCAGTGTGCCATGACATTTACCAATGCTTCTGGGTTCTTCACCAGCTTGCTATTTGGCCTGGGATCTCTGTTTTTTTAAGCCCTACAATAGAGGTTCCTACAATAAGTAGAAAAGTTTTGCAATTTTGCACTAAATTTATGAAATCTGAGTATAGAAGTTATTAGGTATCTCCATCTTAGCAAGCTTGTAATTTAATTAGTTGTTTACAAGGTCTTTAGAGAATTTTGTGAGAAAGGTATTTTTCATGTCCTCCCACATTGTCTCTTGCTCAATCCTTCCTCCTCTGTGAGGTCATTGGAGGGATAAAGGCCTACCCAGTAAAGAATCAACATACTAATTGTAGCATTGTTTATACTATTGAAATCTTTCCTCCTTCCCACTTCGTGACTCTGAAATTTACATTCTCCAGGAACACAGAGCCTTTCTCAGCCAAAATAATGGCAGAGGTGGCAAGCTTGCTTCACTGATACCGAATCTTACAACTTTTGCTCAGAGTGCCTCTTTATTTTGTTCCTGTTTGTCTGATCCTAGATGCAATGTTCTCATCAAATAATCTTGTAATTAGCAACTAACGCAACTAATGCATGAGTAAACTAAAGAAGGGATACTTCCTAAAGCAGAAAGGCTAAGAGTTTGAAGGACACACAAAAAATATCTCAGGATGGCTCCCTGGTTTCTTCAGGATGGTTTTTTATATTCTGAATGTTTTTATTTCCCCTCTGTTTTTCAGTGGTTTTCTAGTCTAGTCTCTAGTGACGTAGATAATGAGGTGCTGTTGGTGACAAGAAATGCTCCTTTTATGGAATTATAAATATAATGTTTAGTTATGATTCTATTACTTCTAGCTCATGCCCAATAATTAGAATTATTCCTATTTATTTGTGTAATTCTGATACTCCTCTTTTTTTTGCTTTATCCTCCAAGTTCTCTCAAGTGTGTCAGTGTCTTTCGTCTATAAAGGTGTGCAGAACTCACACATTTTAGGTGGATTACATCCAGAGATAATGGCATATCAAATAATATTTTTTTTTGCTTCAAGTTTCTATTGTTCATAAATGAATAATTTAAAGCAAGAAATACGTATTTCTGTAAGTCACAGAATTTATGTTTCCTGTTTTCCTATGGTTTTATCATTAAATTATGCTATACCTAATAAGCACAAGTTCTGAGAAAACGTTTTGTGCAATAAGCTATTTATATTCTCTCTCTTTCTCTGATGTGGATTTTCTTGTGGCTTATGATAGAGCTATACTCATAGATAATGTATTCTAACATCAGTGTTATCACTTAATGCAAAACACCTATTGCTTTATACAGTATTTGTCCTATAAACTGTATCCTCAAAATCTTGTAACTAAATAATACTAGAACACAAGGAAGAAAATTGGGACATTACAAAGAGAAAGCATTGAACATATGTCCAGATATATGGTTTGATTAATGTATTTGACCCAGATGCTCTGTGTGTATGTGAGACTAACATCCAGTCTCTTGGCAGTTGTTAGATTGAAGGAAAAGGACAGACTGGGGCTGGTAGGCAAATGAGGGCTGATGTTCTCCTTGTACATATCAGCTTGAACTTGTCATTGTTCTACTATGTTCCTTAGACTTATTTCATATCACACATTACAGCTTGAGCTGAGCCATGCTAGATAATTAAGAATATATTAAACATCTGTATTACAAGAAAGCAGGGGTTAGATAAACGCAAAATTTACATCTGAACAGAGGTCTAAAATTGAACTTATCCTATCTGGAGAGAGGAACCTCTTTCTATTTCATACTGAAAATTCATGCGACATAGGCTGTTTCTTTGGGTTTGAAGGTCTTTTGTCATCTAAAGCCTTTAGCTCCTGAATATGGGCTAGCTAGAATTCTTTATTTGTATAAAAACAAAAATAAAAAACCACCACCCCAAAACACTTATGAATTAAAAGATGAATCTGAAAATATTCAAGGAAAACAGAAATATTTACTATAAATTAGTAGATTTTGTTCTATTTTTTGTGATATTTGGGTGGCTAACCCATTATTTTGAATATTGTCAAAGCTTACTTGGATGCTGAGCAAACAGGCATTGCAGGTAACTCTTTGCACCTTCAGATACTTATACACATGGATAAGAACCCTATCCAAGCCTTCTCTTCTCCAGGCTAAACAGTTCCAGCTCTCTCAGCCTTTCCTCATATGAGAGGTGCTCCAGTACCATAATCATCTTTTGTGGACCTTTGCTGAACTCTTTCCAGTAGCTCCGTATGTCTTTTGTACTGAGGATCCTAGAACTGGACACAGGACTCTAGGCATAGCCTTACAAGAGTAAGTAGAGGGAGAGGATCACCTCCCTTGACCTGCTATTTGCATCAAAGGACCTTGCTGTCGTAAAGTTTAATGACTATACTTGTACATTCTTCATCATCCCCAAAGGATCTACTCAAATAATCTAGAGGCTCATGGAAGACCCAAGGACATTCTTCAACTATAAGAGAACCATTTAGTCTGGGATTTTCCCAGGACAAGCATACATTTCAGTTCTCAACAATTTCCTCAATTTTCTCAGCATTAGAGAAAAAAATAGTATAACTAAGCTTTCAAATTTTTTCTCATAACTTTGTATGATGAGAAACTACATTTCAGAGCTCATTCTTTTAATTATACCATAAGAAATGTTGCTATGACACAGGAGGAATTGTTGTTTGTACTTTTTCTTTTCCATCCATTATGGGAGTAATTCAGATGCCACCCTTTTTTATTTTATTTTATTGTGCTGTGTAAAAAAAACTACCGGCTTTTTCTGGCTCCTGAGATTACTAGTCTACTGGCAGTAGGGCTATCAAATGACCCATCGTTCTCTATCTTCTGTGCCTCAGAATGTGGGCTATATAAACCAGAAACTTCTGGTTATTCATTTCTCCTATCTTTCCCTCTGCTGCCACCATATGGTTAAGTGTCAGTAAGCCAAGAGATGGTGAACTACCTGCGTTTTTTAGCACTGCACTTGCCTGCTTTTGCGAGTTCTTTTTTTTGCACTCAAAAAATATGTCAGATGGTAGGTGTGCCTTACCAATCTTTCAGTGAAAATGTTGAAGATACGTACTGTCTCAAGCATTGGCCATGCTAAGTCTGGAGAGAGGCACCATTTGTTTGAGGGTGTTTCTTATCAGACACGTTTTCTTGACTACAGGATCTGGGAATCCCCACTCCTCCAGGCTGCCAAAGAGAACAACCTCCCAGTCATTAGGAAACTTCTCACTGATGGAACATGTGATATCTATCAGAGAGGTAACTCAATTATTTGTGACAAATGGTTTTCTGTATAAGGCAAGAACCTGCTACAAGAAGTATAGTATGTTTGTTAGTTTGCTAAAACATTTGCATTAGCAGACTCAAACTACGTAACTATATGTCAACAGCTTTGCAACAAAGTGAGTTTTCTAACTTGGAGAGCTCATCAAACCCTAAAGGAATGGTGAAGACCGGAGGTTTACAGCTTGAATAGACCTTTTTTTCTAGAGGGACTGAGGGAGGTGGTTTACTGTGGAAGGTGGTCCCTAGAAGGCCTGTGTGCTCACTCATTTCACACCTAAGTTTGCTGTCACTCACAAACACCTGAAGTCTCTGTTCAGCTTTCAGATTTTGAACAGGGTGAAGGATAGTGGCTATGTAGTCATGTGGCTTTTACCATGTCATATGGTGAGGTGGCACCTGGCAGTACTCAAGGGAGGACCAAGCACTCCCGTAATTCTCCATGCCAATAAATCCATTTCTGCTTTTGTCCCATATAGTTGAATGTCTAGATGACTCACATGTTTCTCCTACTGTTTTTAGGTGCACTGGGGGAGACTGCCCTTCATGTAGCTGCCTTGTATGATAATGTGGAGGCCGCAGTGATTCTGATGGAAGCAGCTCCTGACCTTGTCAATGAGAGGATGACTTCAGAACTCTATGAAGGTAACACCTCAGTGAATGAGGATGGGCAGGATTCTCTGCTGGGGGAGGGAGAAATTTAGGACATTTAGGAAAGTAGCTTATACTATTCTTGTTCAATATATTGCTAAACTGCTACATCGCAAAACAAGCACACAAATGGCTCCCGACCATTTGTGGAAGGTTGAATTATATTAAATCGAAGTACATACATGTGAAAACATGCAAATGCATAATTGACAAACTCTTAACCACAGGTGGGCCTGTTTCCTATAGCAGGATTGCAAAGATATGTACAGTTTACTTTCTGCCATAGTCATGTGTAACAAAGGGGACATGCATACATACATCAGACATTACCTGATCTCCTCTGAAAGGAGAGAAAAAAAGGTTCTTTGGTTGACAAAGAATAGGGACTGAAAGCAAATGAGGGACACTGCTTTTGAGTTTAGACTCTGAGACTGGTTTTTAAAGAATGGTTCTGATTGACCACACAGAAATGCCAGACAGAATCCTGAAACCACTAAAATAATAATGATGGGTTTTTAGAAATTCTAATACCTAGTTTCATGGATTAGAGCAAACCTTCTCTGGGAGCTTTGTATTGATCTCACCTTCATGTCCCATGAAGGAAAGCATAGTCCCTTCTGAGAGACATGACCTTTCAGTGTGCTTCTTGGAAGAGTGTGGCAAGTTTTGCTTTCCCCCAGAAAAAAAGCTAGAAAGTGTATAGTGGGTTTTGGCAGGTTGTAAAGTCAGTTTGCATGAATTCCTAAAAGGTTTAAATAGAATGGCACCTCTGGAAAATCTGTAGTCCACTCTTCTGTACACAACAGGGATAATTTCAAACATAAATCATATAGCCACTATGGATGCAGTTCCAAAAAACTTAGAGTTAACTTGAGTGAAATGTGAACTGCAGGCTACTGATCAGACTGAAGTTGCTTTCTTGGAAGGCAAGGTTTTATTTCTGTGTCTTACAGGGCAGACAGCTCTCCACATTGCAGCAGTGAACCAGAACATCACTTTGGTGAAGGCTTTACTCAAGAGAGGGGCCAATGCCCGTACAGCACAGGCCACTGGGCACTTCTTCAGGCGCAGCTCCCACAATCTTCTCTATTTCGGTACAGCCTTATCTTCTCCCCTTGCTGCTATGAGAGGGAACCAGCAGAGTGGTGTGAGAATATAAGGCAGGCTTGCTTTAGTCCCCATCTAAACTGGATGAGCAGAGGTTCCTGTCTCCAAGTGTTGGCAGTCACACACCTTTAAGTAGACAGTAAGACTCCATCTGAGTATGTAAATGCTATATAAATATAAATATAAATATAAATAGAAATAGAAATAGAAATAATAGAAATAGAAATAGAAATAGAAATAGAAATAGAAATAGAAATAGAAATAGAAATAGAAATAGAAATAGAAATAGAAATAGAAATAGAAATAGAAATAGAAATATCATACACATTTTATATATTTGCATGTATAAAAATATATTGCATAGGAATAATAATTTAATTTCTTCCTAGCAGCATATACTGCAACATACTTGTCAACCTTCTTATGGAGATAATCTGAAAAGAATACTTCTTCCTTTTAGTGTTGTGCGGGGCAGGCCCTCTTCTCCTTTCTGAGTAGGATAAGGAGTGGGGCAGGAAATTTACAGGTTACCGGAAGTAAGTCTTCGTTTCATAACCTCTGGCTTCATAGCATGGATAGTTTTCTCTCAGTGTGCTTCAACCTCTCCTGCCACCTAGGGTCTTAAAGTTGTTTCTCCTCTTTCCTTTCTTTGCAGGAGAGCATGTTTTATCATTTGCTGCCTGTGTGGGAAATGAGGAAATTGTACAGTTGCTCATTGAAAATGGAGCTGACATCAGAGCTCAAGATAGTCTGGGTATGTGCTGTGGGGACTAGTGAATTGCATATAGTGGATCTGGACACTTTAAATCAGACTGTTATCTGTGCATGGACATATTTTTCTCTCATTACAAGCAGCTGTGGGATGAGGGATGTGAGGAAAACAAAAGCCATTGTTAATGGCATCAGTCAATTGCCAGTCTTTGCACAGGGCTGGGCTATTCCATATACTTTATCTGGTCTGCTTCCTTCATAGGTAACACTGTTCTTCACATCCTGGTTCTCCAACCTAATAAGACATTTGCCTGCCACATGTACAGCCTGATACTTTCCTATGACAGGAACAAAGAGGGACCAGGATCACTTGAATTGATTCCTAACAATGAGGGGCTTACTCCATTCAAACTGTCTGGAGTGGAGGGCAACACTGTGGTGAGTTTAAAAGTGACACAGTTGCCTCCATACAAAAGGGGTTATTCAGAAAAGGTCAACATCATCCAGACCAAGCAAGTTTGTACATGTTGTTAGTGGGTAGAAGATACATAACAAGTCTGTCTTTTTTTTTTTTTTTTGCCAGAAGTCTAATGTAGGACCAGAAAACCTGTATAAAAAATTTCTTTACCCTAATGAAAGAAATGAGTGCTTAAAGAATATATCTTTTGACCCAATTTTTGAAGCATTTGAGTTTAAAAGATATTGACAGAAAGATCCACTCCAAGTATGTTTTTAAAAGTATGACTGAAATTATTGTCTTCGTTGTCTAGATTTTATCACCCTAAATATGACACACAGGAAATTTCTTCAGGTATCCACAGACATTTATTCATAGTCAAGAACTCAATATTTAATGTAAACTTGCACCATTCCCCTTAATAAAAAGTCAAGAATGGTTAGTGTTTCTTCTGTAGATTCACAAAGGACAGGATCACTTCCCTTGCCACACCTCTTTCCTGATAACTTGTAGAAGAGTATAAAATATTTTTTTTCTAATCAACATATAATTCCATATGAAATCTATTGCCAAGATGTATAATGGTGTCAAATAACTTTGACAGTTTGATTAGAATTTAGAATAAAAATCACTCATGCTTTACCTCAAGCACAGGTTAATAATCAAATGGGAGTCAGAAAAGTTCTTCCACTTCTTAGCCTGCTATAATTGTTCCTGAGGGATATCAGAACCACAACAACTACCAAGTTCAAGGAAAATACATTCTAATTAGAGAGTTTTTAACAACTGTATTTGTTTTCACTGCAAATACACTATGCACTGGAAAGCTTCTGATATCCTCCACCCCCTTCTTTTCTCCTCAGATGTTTCAATACCTTATGCAGAAGCGGAAGCACAATCTCTGGTCCTTTGGCCCCTTGACCACTGTTCTCTATGATCTCACAGAGATTGACTCATGGGCTGAAGATCAGTCCTTCCTTGAGCTCATTGTCTCAACCAAGAAGAGAGAGGTATTGTGGACACCATATGCTTTCTATGTGCAGACCATGATGATTATAAAAGGAGAAAAATGATGAGTTTGAAGGTTCAAGCTCTTTTATATTATACATAGAGCACCATGTGCTGCAGGAAATACAGGAAATGTAGCAGCTTTTTAATGATCTGGCTACATCTGATGCTTTACACACAGTTTCTTCTGAGATGTAAAACTTACAGATTGAAAGAACTTAGTATGAGCAAGCTACAGGAAATGACACTGTGTGATTCAATAAAGGGTTCTCTCTCTTTCATCAGTTTCAAACATATCAGTAACAAGTAGCTTTAGAGTAGCTCTAGCAAGCAGCTTTCTATAACTGTGATACTGATTAATTCTTACTATGTCCCTGTGAGACAAGACTATATTCAGAAATCCTAACCTGGAATGCATTTTAAAATCACTCATTATTATTCTACTCTTCTTTTAATGACATTGCTTGTCCAGGCTATGACTCAAAACAAAGTAGGTAAATTATCTCTGCTGTAGGCTCAAAAACTTGTAAAGGGATCACGAAGACAAAAATAGGAGAGTGTAATGGCAATCTTAGACAGATCTGCTGAAGACTTTCAAGGTATACTACCCTATCAGTTGTAATCACCTTAAATAATCCTAATAGGACAGGAAATTAATCAGAAGACACTTTAATTAGCATAGTAATATTCATGCTGTATTATTTCCATCTATCAAAACTTTAGTCAAACTTCTCTAACAAATGTTTTAGCTAATGGAGGGTGCTGCACAACGTGAAGGAAGTCTATGAAACTCTCATTTGCTTTTATTTAAAATCCTTTAAATTTCTATGTGTTTTCCATACAGAAATTCAGGGGAAAGACGTCTATGTCAAAGAAATAGAACAACCTTAGCAGTTGTCCGGAAAACTAAACCATAATCCTAAAAGAAAGAATATTGTGCCTCATCTTCTCCCAAAGCATGTAGTGCATTCAGATCCAAGATTCCTAATTTCAGAGGATAAGATGTCTCCAAATACCATGAAATATTATGATTTCTTTATTTTCCAGAATGCTCTTAAATATGAGTAATTGTTATTTTTGCATGCATAACGAGTACTTCTTTTTTTGTATTGTATATATGTTTGGTCCAAAATGTTTGCTGTCTCCTCTAGAAGAATGCAATATGTGACCCCATCCTCTGATATGGTCCCTGGCCCTCTCAGTCCAGTATTGGACTAGAGTTGCATCTTTGGGCCCCAGTCAGCAGGTTCCTCTTGTATTAAGGGGGATGCATAAACAAATAGGTACTAAATATATTTTCTGACCCTTAAGTGGATGAAAAGTGGCAAAAATAGAAGGGAACTAAGCTACAGGAAGATTATAGTAAGCTCCTGAACTTACATCGTCTTTTGGAAAATGAAATCTACTCTCCTATGCAAAGAATTCCAGAATACTGACTTCTAAACAAAACAGAACACCTAAGGCTATCTAGCTAGGTTCATTACCTCTAACTTACTTTTGATCCTTTAGGATATTTCTTAGGGCATTCAAGAGTCATACCCATTTACTGAAACATACGTATTCCTCACAGTTTGTGCAATCTGTCTTTGGCAGACTTGGAGGAAGTAGGGCAATGTAGCAAAAGGAGGAAAACATCTAGAGTGCAATAAGTTTTCCTTTAAAGTAACCCACTCATGCCACTTCAACTTATGTCTCCTTCTTGTTTATTACAGTGGTCCCTTAAACATTACAATAGGAAGAAGGTCTGGAAGCATTCAATAAAGTGTGAGGGTCCAATTCATAAGCAAGTTGTAAAGTACACACTGTTTGTCCTACTTATGCTCTATGCGTTTCTAGCGGGAGCTAAAGGCTTCATATAGAAGTTTCAATTAAGTATCACCCAGATAATAATGCAGAAACTTAAAATGTAATATTTTCATATAAACCATGGAACTTTAGACAAGTGCTAATCTCATTTGGAAAAATGTTCCACTTTTCTTATCCTAAATCATCTGATAAAAAAGACATGTACTGCTGTACAATCAGGAATATTCTGTCATCCTCAGTTCTATGTTCACACACAACAAAAACATTTCAAAGATTTAGCAGATAAATTTTCGTTGTTAGTCTTTTGTTTTACCCTCAAGATGCCATCAGAACTGAGGGTAATTTCCAATCAATTACATAAATAAAACAAAACAATTATATATACAAAACATATATACATATATATGCCTTTGTTTCCCTCTTACAGAAAAGGCCTTGTTGACATTTTGGCGCTTGGTTGGCAACCTCAGAAAGGATTCTCATGTGAATCCTGCATATGTTCTGTGAGAATGGCAAAATAAATTCTTTACTTTTTATAGGTAGAGAAACTGCAAATGAAATAACACTGACTGTCTTAAAGTAGCTGAATCCAACTGCTTTTGACTATCTCTGGAGTAGACCGAGACCCTTGACCTGCAAAGCAAACTTTGATACTCCATAAACATACCAGCCATAGTCCTATTTCTAGACTTTGAGTATTTACATACTCTTATATCAATAGAAATGACACTTCCACATAGGGAAGACAGACAAAGGACTGTGGGTTCACTCTTCAACTATAGAAAACCATTACAACTATAGCTTCAGTTCAGTTTTACTAATTTCTTGCAGATTAGGAATGGAACCTGAACAATTATGATGAAATGACAGAAAAACACAAAAAGAGTCCATGCTAATTATCCGGGCTTGCAGGTGCCAATAAACAAAATATCTCTGTTTTACTTTCACTTTAACAGAGTATGGCTTATAACTGAGTGAAAAAGATAATTTTGTTTTGAAAATGCTTCAGGATGATCCATTTGATTCCAAAGTAGAGATCTAGCTCTTCAACTACTGCAGATTTTGGAGGCCGTGATAACCTGAGTCAGTATCATCCATATATTTTGAAAACAACATTTGTCACTTTTGTGGAATATACTTCCTTGCGGTGGGACTCTATGTAGTTTATGACCACTAGGTCAAATTTTTCAAAAGAACTCAGTATGAAAAGACCCTAATATTCTCTGTTCCATTTTATTCATATCAGCATAGTGCTCTTGTCACTATGGTGTTGAATACCTCCCAGTAGTGCGTTACATACTAAAATTAACATATTTCCCATGTGGTTCATTCTTTCTTCACAGACCAGTTTACTAAGCAGAGCGTCTAATTTTGGTAGGCTTGAGAGTGATTACTTTTTGGCAGAGAATATTGTGTGTTCATATTGGACAAATTTAGTTAAATTGCACTTGGCCTACATTCATCTTATCTAATTTTGTCACCAACTGAGGTGTTTAATTAAGGAATACAGATTCCCTAATTTTACATGTGGTTGATAGAGAAATCCAAGTAATTAAGTATCTCCAGAGAACAGTTTAGATTTTAGGTGAGCTGAATGGCAATCTGTAAGACCCTATTGCCTACAAGGAGAGCAATCTTAGGATAACAACATCACTAATGAAGATACTTCCTTTAGGTGCCTAAAGTTTTGTGATGGCTTTACTTGTAGTAGTGCTATTCTAAGGACATAGATAAGGCAAAGTTTGTAGGAAGAAGTAATGACATTTATTAGACAGTTCATGTAGCCACAATTTTATCTTGTCCTACGAAAACAATTAAAGGAGTGACATTGATCTTTCCAAGTTTTATAGTTGTCATCCCAGCAGCAAATTAATAGATTCACTCAGAGTCACAGATTAGCAATGTTCATCAGAGGAAAAGATGTTGAATTCTTTTTCCATATCATCTCACTGTATTTTCTTTGTCCTTTATATGCATGTGTGCAAATCAACCAAATCAGCCATGAGGACACTTGAGAAAATTTCTGGATTCTTCCTGTTAGTTTTTGAAATGGAATTGTATGATAGGAGAGGATTCTTCCCTCCAGTGCTCATAACTCTACTGCTCTTACTTTTTGTGGAGCCTCTTTGTCACTTCTAAAACTTTTTTTGATGAAGCTTTCTTTTTGTATAGAATTCCTCAGCTACACAGTATGCATGGATATATGCAGAACTTTGACAGAAACACAACCCCAGCTTATGCACCAGCACTATTTTTCATATCATGAAAGATACTCACTGAAGGTTCTGTTTGTTCCTGGAATTGCATGTGGTCTTCTAGATATATTTGAGCTGCACCACTGAGATTCTAAAAAGAAGGACCCAACTTTGTATATAATATAAATAATCTAAAGCAAGTAAGTTGAAAGAGCCTGGGTTTTTCACAGTATATCTCACTGCGGGTATACTTCAGTTTTTATGATCATAGCTGAATGGAGAAAACTTTTGAAAATCCAGTCCATTAATTGGCTGCATTTAGACAGAAATAAAAGAAAAGAACTTTGGAAATCTTTCCAAAGTTCCCTTATTTGCCTGCTAAATCAAGGTAATATCAGTGTCAGTTTTTCAAAGAGAGCTAATGATCTAAATGACCTTTAGATATGTTTCCTAGAGATGAAAAATTTCCACAAATGCTGCTGAAATTGATAGAAATAGCTGTTGAAATGAATGTTAACTTAAATGTTTAAATGTAGAACTCCAATTTGGAGAAAAAAAAGTAAGTGAATTTCACAAGTTTGTGCAGAACCTTTTTTCTGTAGCTGAAAATAGATTCCAAATTATTTTATTTTCAATTCTATGTTCTAATAATGATGTATATTTTTGCACAGAGGAGAATATCTGTCTGCTGTAAAGTGCACTGTGTTATCTTGCTTAACATGAAATATTCTTCAAAATTGATTCCAGTTACAGTAAAAGATAATTCATGAACTGAATTAGTTTTGTACATATTTGAATTTGAATATTCAAAGGATTTATAAACTTTCTGATACTGTAAAGTTAGTCCAGCCCTAATATGTATATATCTTAAAATAATAATATTAATAATGATACTAATACATTATTAATAATATCTTTTATTTTCTGTAACACATTCTCATATATTTGCATTCATTGATCCAGATCACAGGTCTGTCTGAAGTGTGTGTATGCATCCAAGCCTACACAGACCACAAACTTATTCTAGTATCTAACATACTTCTCTTGCATTTCCCACTGGTACTCAATAGCTGTTCTCTGCAGGATATATTTTTTAGTTTTTTTCAAAACTCTTTGCTGGAGAACTGAGCAAATCTAAACCCACTTGAGGATGCCATTTTTGCAAAATAAATTCAGCTTCCTAATGCTGAATGGAGTAGGTGAGAAGAGTTTGTTAACATTCTCCCAGGAAACGGTGTGAATGATGCTTATAAACAAATGTCCTTATGGCAATTAATTCTTTCTATCTTTCTCAGGCACGCCAGATCTTGGACCTAACTCCTGTGAAGGAGCTGGTGAGCCTGAAGTGGAATATGTATGGTCGTCCCTATTTTTGTTTCCTGGCTTTATTCTATATACTCTACATTGTCTGCTTCACTATGTGCTGCATCTACCGACCACTGAAACCCCGAACAGACAACAAAACAAGCAGTAGAGACAATACAATCTATGTCCAGAAAATGCTGCAGGTACTGTGGCTATAGGAGTCTGGGCCCCATAGGCAGCATTGGGCAATTCTAATCTAACATACTTAACTGGGAAGTCTTTCCCTGTTGCCAGCTATTGCAGCTGTCCTATTTCTCTCTTTCCACCTTTGTCAGTGAGGAATATTGGGTATGTTCTGCTTTCCGTTGCTGGGGCTGAGCTGGTTCCTGTGGCCTTGTCAGGCCTAGTCATGTTTCTTACACTAACAGTGGGCCTTCTTTTCCCACATCCCCTTTTTCCTTCCACTCCCTTTAAAATTTAATTTTAATTTCCTCTTGTGCCTTTTTTTTTTTCCAGGAATCATATATGACATATGAGGATGAGCTGAGGCTGGTGGGGGAGCTGATCACAGTCATTGGAGCTGTAGTAATTTTGATCCTTGAGGTAAGAGAAACAGCGAGCTATATAGTCTCGAGTTTAATCAAGACAGATTTTACTTACTAGACAAACATGAGTTTATGCTCACAACTTGGTAGGTGTTATTTGCTTACTCTAAGTTTTTGGATATACACCTGAGGCTATAGACACTGTCAACAGTATCTATTGGATGAAACAGAGACTGTGACAACATACTAGTAAGACTCCAGGTGTGGAAGAAGCAATTAGAAGGACTGGCCATGCTATCAAATACTATCTGCAGGGTAATACCACAGTACCCGTTAGCACTGTGGGTCCAGCTGAATCCCAGCTGTTGCATGAGATTCTTAGAGATTCTTCACCCACCCTTCAGCCTAAGCAAATACTCATGTGCTTAGGGGTGCTGGCTGAAGTGATTTCTGTGCGTACACGGAAAAGTTTATATCTAATTGAAGATCAGTGACGGTATGGGCCTATAACAGCAACCTTACTCAACCAGAGTACATGTTTTCTCCTTACCATGAACTCTCTCTCAAAAAAAAGAAAAAGTTCTTTAAATTAAAACAAATATATCCTCCACTTGATTTTAATATAATATGAAATAGAAGGCTGAAACTTTTATATGAGAAAACTAAAATAATGATGCCAGGATGAACTGAAGTGAAATGGGGCTTGTAAATAGCTTTCTCTCTGCCCATATATGTTCCAGAAGGACAGGTCCTTCTTCCGGTGTTTGGTCAGGACTCTGGGGCTACACTACTAACTTTGATTCCCCAAGAAGGTCTTTTTTGTCTTCACTTCTGTGGCACAGCTGTTTGTCTGGTCTCTTCTCAGTAATCTATATGGACTTCAGGCTCACAGCTCAGTGCTGCAGCATCTCTCTGCCACATACCAAAGTCTCTCAATCTGCCCAAGCATTCTTAGGTTTTCCATCAATCTCTGTCACATCCCAAGAGGGGTCACTTGACTCAATCATTCAGTTTTTAAAGCAATACAGAAATCAAACTGTGAACAAGCAAACAAAGCAGATGTGGCAGGCCCCAAGATATTGTGAATATTGGCTGTTACCATGGCATTGAATAGTATAATGGAATCCATCTAAGTCCTAAAGTCAGTAGGATGTCTCTCTTAGATCCCAGATATCCTTAGAGTTGGAGCAGCGAAATACTTTGGACAAACCATCCTGGGAGGGCCTTTTCACATAATTGTGTAAGTACATCACTTTTTGAGTCTAATAAATAAATTGTCCCTCATTTTCCTCACTGATGTCTTTTGCCAGATGAGTCAATTTCTCCATTCTTTTAGAGTATTCCTTCTTATGATTTACTTCTCTTACTGACTCAACTGGTGTGTATGAAGACAGGCAAGTGGACAGGTAGAGCTGATAATGCTGAGAGGTCTCTCTCTATGGGGCTGGTGGCTATATGTGCCTGTCTTGGAATTTCTGAAAAGAAAAGAAAAAGGAAGGTAAGATTCCTTTACTGAACTTTTTTCACTGTCTCTTCTCTTGCAGCATCACATATGCTTGCATGATTCTAGTAACCATGGTGATGCGTCTCACCAGCACAACTGGTGAGGTGGTGCCCATGTCCTTTGCCCTTGTGCTAGGATGGTGCAATGTCATGTACTTCGCACGAGGCTTCCAGATGCTTGGACCCTTTACCATCATGATCCAGAAGGTATAAGACACAACAGATATGGGCTTGTTACATTTCTCCTGGCACCTCTTTGCAAATAGGGAGGAACTGAAAGAATACTTTTTCTCCCTCAGGACTAGCATTAACAGCAAATGGACAAGTTCTTGTCTGCACAGCGGGTTTTTGACTTTCACATTCTTTCTTTAGTGAAGAAGTTTCCTTTAGTCTACTCATGGTCTTAGAATCTGGAAAACCTTTTACATAGGGTTGCATTGTGGCTTGGTGGGACTTCTGGGTCTTATGGTGGCTCTGTGTTTGCTCTACAGATGATATTTGGAGATCTCATGCGTTTTTGTTGGCTCATGGGTGTGGTGATATTAGGCTTTGCATCAGGTGAGTCTATGAAAGGAAAACAGCATTGTTACACCTGCCAATTTTTTTAGTATGAATTAAGTGCATGGAATTTTATTTCTTCTCAGGTTGCCCTTTGAGTTAGCTCACAAAGGTGGTGATGATGTATAGCTTCTGTTTTTTTGAACATGGTCACTTTCCCAGTACTGATTTCTGCTCTTATGAGTTTGGTTTTCAATTTTTGCTCTTTCCAGGGTAACAGAAATTAGGACAATACAGATAATTCCACATATATATAAATCAAGGTTTAAAAACATACTGTGTTTATTATATTTGTCTTTGGAAAATGAGATTAACACACATAGCTTTATTATATCCTTGAAGAAGAAAAGATCACTGTTTTGAGAACAAATAAATAAAGTAATTCTGAGTCACTTTATAATAGAGACCAATGATTCTAGTCAGGGACTTGTCCTTGTTATGCTAGGTACCGCACTAGCATAGAAACACATGCAGCTCCTTCCCAGACCACTTTGTGTTGTCAGCATCTCTTATAGTACCCTATTGTTGCTCTTGGAATATGTTTCCCGATATTAAGCTACCTCTCCCTCTTTTTCCCTGTTGCTCTCCTCTAGCTTTTTACATCATCTTCCAGACAGAGAACCCTGAAAACCTTGGGCAGTTCTACAACTATCCCATGTCCTTGTTCACTACCTTTGAGCTGTTCCTCACTATCATTGATGGCCCTGCAAACTATGATGTGGACCTGCCCTTTATGTACAGCGTGGTATACTTTGCCTTCGCCATCATTGCAACTCTCCTTATGCTCAACTTGTTAATTGCCATGATGGGTGACACCCACTGGAGAGTGGCCCATGAGCGGGATGAACTCTGGAGAGCCCAGGTAACCTAATTCAGGTGGTAGGGGGTTCACTTTGAATAACGAAGGGGAAAAGTTGTCCAGAGGAAATGTGCTGAACAGTGCAATTACTTACTCTGTCTTCTGTGCTCTGCTCTAAAGGAGGTACTTTAAAACCTTTCCCTGCTCTTCACTTTTCTCAGGGGTTAATAGAATAAGCCATGTCCTTTTAATTCTGTTTTACAGTTTCTGTATGTCAGCCACCAAATTTCTTTCATCCTTTCTATGAGTCCAAAGTGTCTAAATGCGAGACTGCTCTTCTGCACATCTTCCCATGTGAAACTGTCTTCCAGTATATCTTTGCTGTGTGGGTATTCCTACCTTATTTCAAATAGCAGCTAGAAGCCCATCCAGCCTTTCTTGTCCATCGTGTATCTTCCTGGCTCTTTGTTCCTTACACATGCATTGCTTGTTAAATAGAATTTAAAGTTCCATCTTTTTTTTGCAAATCACATTTCTGTGTAACTGAGGGTTAAACTATAATTATAGGGATTGACTGAGGGGAGATAGAATGCAAGGTAATGATTACAAGTAGGTCAGTAATGTCTTTACATCCACTAAGAGAAGTTGGTCTGACTCTCTTGCTCAAAAGGTAAAAAAATTCCAACAGATCAGTTATATAGCTGCTCAACAGGAAATCCATTTCCTAGTATTTTTCTGTAAGAAAGCAGTAAGTCAAATGGTTAAATGTAGTTGTGTGGCCACACTCTGATGATAGTTAATGCAGATATAAATAGTGTCCTCTCCTCTAGCTAGCAAATTAATTACCCTACTCATTGCCATCAGGTATAAAAGGAAAGAAATTTAACAGTGTTTTAAGAAAGAGCACCATTGCTTCTTCAAAACATGGCACAGTTCAGACTAAAACAGTGATTTGCCCTATAATAAACAGAGTATTGACTCTATGATTTTTCTTCATTACATATGGAGCTGTAATGAAGTGTGGTAATGAGTCAGTATTCATGAAACTGATAATTTTGAAACAGAGTCTGATTTTTTTCTAATTCATCCAAGTTCTCTTTTTTTTCATTCTAAAGGTTGTTGCTACTACTGTCATGCTGGAGCGGAAACTGCCACGGTGTCTCTGGCCTCGCTCTGGAATCTGTGGGCGGGAGTATGGACTAGGGGATCGATGGTATCTCAGGTGAGTTCTCTTCTAGTATGTGCTCATAAGGACCACAAAAGAAGAATTCAATGTATGGATGTTAATAAAGAGCCTTTCCAGTGGCCTGGGGAGGAGTGTTTACAGTCCTTTCCTTCCAGAATACAGACCCCAATCTGTTTTCTGCCTGTGATTGATAGACAAACACTGTTCCCCTCAGAAAGCTCTGCTGTGCAATTCCTTGTGAAATCAGCTGATGTTTTCTTATCCATTAGTCACAGGAGACAGACCACAGAAATTGCATGGGCTATAAGGCCTGAATTTTTCTTTCAAACTTCTTATAATGAGTATCACAAAGTTTCACTGCTGTGCTTGGTTGGCTGTCCCTATCTATGAGATACATGAAATGGCAGAGGCAGAATCAATAAACTAGACATTGAGCAGCAATGAACTGCACTACAGATTATTCAAAAACAGAACAGGAATAATTAAAGGCAAGATTTCTTTCTGGTGTCAACCTAGTAACTATATTATACTTTGCAAGGACGGCATCAGGTGGCAAATTCTTAGGTCCAGGATTTCAGTTTAGGCACTGAAATAACAAACAAACTATCTGTAGTCTAGATAACATTAGATTCCTCATTATTTCTGATCTTAATCAATATTTATACTAGGGTGAGAAAAGATATCATTTTGTTTGGGCATGTGTCTTTTCCAACTGCGTCATCTTTTGCTGATAAAGCCAGAAGGGGGAGTGGTGACAGTATAAAATATGACTTTCTTTAGGTTTTAGCAGAGAAATGAACCTTACGGGTTTTCAGGTTTGCTGGGCAGAACAAGTGGACCTAAAATAGTATCAATATGTAACACCTTCAGTCCAAGGTGTTGGACTGAATATAACTTTGCAAGAGCAATGTCCCAGCTAAAATTCTTCATTGGATGCTATGACAAAAGAGTGTTGGTATGATCTAGTTCTGTCAAATTACATATAAGTTCATTTTAACTATTGTGGGATAGTATTTCAGAAGACAAATTATAAGTAATGTAGAGAAGAGTTGATGGAAGTGCAGCAGTTAAATAAAAGTTCAGCAAAACGTAAGTGACACCCTAGCACTGAGGGTGCTAGCAACCATGGGATATCAGAGAAGGAAAGACAAGAACAAAGGAAATGGATGAATATATGTGTATATACAAAGGATCTGGAGCTAGAGTCAGATGGGATAGGTCTGCCAGTAGCATACAGCTGGCAAAATGGAAGGGGCAAATCATGACTGGGGAATGAGTTAAAGGACAGGAAACCACAAGCAGTTAAGAGTAGTTAAGCCAATGATGGGAATGAAGGTCTAGGAGATAATTGTGTGCTAGCAGCTGCTAGCACCATGTCTATAATCAGTTTCCCATTTCTGTGTAGGTTTTCTGGAATGTCTGGGTCAGTAGACATATTTTTGGGAGAGTCTAGCTCCTTGTGGCTGCTTGGTTTTGTTGATAAACTGGCATGTTTCTACTTTGTTTCAGTTTATTTTTTTTAATCCTCTTACAGAGTTGAAGACAGGGTTGATCCCAACAAACACAAGATGATGCGGTACACAGAAGCATTTAAGGTTCAGGATAGGGATAACTATGACAAAGGTTTGGAAAAGCTGGGAATCGATAGGAACATCCTGTACAAGCAGGAGCGGTCTGCTCTGTCATTGTCACGAAGCACATCCAGGACTAGTTCTCACCGTGGCTGGGAGATCCTGAGGCGCAACACCTTCCACCAACTTCGTGGGGAGGTCAGTCATGCCATGGAAGAGGAGGTCTATGATGTCTAAAGAAACCTCTTTTTTTACTGCACAACATGGATCACTTTTGCCACAACAGTTGTCTTCAACTGTTCATACACACTCCAGCATACTACACACATTTATCAGCCTTGAAGAATTCTGCTGGTGAACAGTTCATGGCATCTATGCTATGATATATGAATGCAGTCTTTTCTCTCCTACTTTTAAGTGTCCCTGCTGTTGCACTGATACTTGCACCGGTCTGTAGTGGTTTGTTATGCTTTGTAATGCCTTACCGAAATGAGCAAAAGAAGCCAGCAATGGGATTCTATCCATTTACAAAGAAGTGATAGTAAGGCCTCTTCCAGACTGTTACATACAGTATAATCTCTTCCTTCAGTTTCACAAAATCCCAGTGCTCTCATAGCAAAGAGAACTCACTGAAGTTCTGTTTCGTGATTTGTTGCAGAACTGAAAAACACCCCCTGTAACTAAGCTCAGGAATGAGTTGCTGACACTGTGATGATTAAAAGGACTATAACTACTCAGTTGGCATTCAGAGCCTGATGCATTTTGTCCTCTAAAGAAAGGCAGTCTCTACTAGATGCATTTTCAGTGTTGCTATCTCAGCAGTTTTCATTTTGGTTTGTTTGGATTTTTTTGGTGATGGGTTTTTTATTTGTTTGTTTTATTTTGTTGTCACATGAATGCACTTTAAGCTTTTGAAAAGAAATGATTGCTATCCCTGGGAGGATTCTGAAGGATCTGAAGTGGAAACTCCTTTTCCTAATGACAGCATGTATGACCTGGTTAGGTGACTTTCAGCAGTGTGGAATTTCAGCAGAGCTATTAATCTCCTAAGTGAGCTGAAGCTGGTCTTTTTTTTCTGTGGAAGAGTGGGATTCTGAAACATAGTTCTCTGACTTATTACTGAGCTGTCAAGGTTGGGTAGTGATCTACAATATATCACTGAAAGAAATTGAGAGGAAATGTTGAATAGATGAATAAGAGCTATTGCAGAGGCAGTTCAGAAAATGGTGCATGCGCTCTCTCTCTCTCGAAGTCTAAAACTATCCAAAGAACAACTCAGTCATCCACATAGTTCCTTTCCAGGCATGATGCTGTGCCAGTCTGTCAGTTTGTCATCTGCCTAGGGCCACTTTATGAAAAAGGGAGAAATGGACTGTCATTTCAGGTTTTTTTTGTATTCTCAGGAATGTGGAGTTTCATTCCAATAGCAGAAATAAGTGGAAAGCAATCCATGGTCTTAACATTTCCTCCCAACAGGACTAGTAACAGAAATTTTGTTTTTTTAAAAAAACAAGGATTATTATCTAGCACTAGACTTTGAGCCAAATCACCCTGTGGTAATCAAAGCAGATAATGAAAAAGCTGAATTCAGTGGATTTCTGATTGTATTGAAATATCACAGTAAATATCTCCTATATCTCCTCTCTTGCAGGTGCTGTAATAAGCATCAATGATCTTTGCAATTATGTGTGTTCCTTTAAATGTCGTCTTTCTCTTACTTGAATGTGTATTTATGTTTCAATGGGAGACTGACAGAAGTCTGGTTCTCTGTAATTCAATTACATACTTTTGAGTTGACTCATTTTATTGAAAGTGTTGCCTGATCTCCATCACTTCAGTATTGTCAGTCCTTCCCAAAACCTTTGGGGTTTGTACTGGTGGTCTATGGAGATGGGAACAATGTGACACATTAACCAGAACTGTGAATTGCTGCTCTAATTGTAGATGAATTTCCTTTCATAGTGAATAGGAAGAAGAAAGGAAGGGACAACTGATGGCTTCCCCCATCCCCCCAAGTATAGTAGTCTTTTCACTAGCTTGAAAACCTGCAGAAATACAATTGAGATGGAGCCACTTATAGCCATTTTTACATAAAGACTTCTCTTAGTGACATCATCATCATTATTCAAAAGCTAGTTTGAAGTATAAGCTGTGTAAGGCCTGGTTCTGATTTTATGTTCTTCTTCATCACTATAAACACTAATGAGAATTTTAATCTTGGAACTCCGAACAATATGTTGGCATTGCAGGAGGCAGAACAGAACTCAGTTAACAGTGCTAGGCCTTTACAGATTTCTATATCTGCTCTCCATAAAAAGAAAAGAAAAAATCCAGTAGCAGGTATTTCTAAGGAAGTGCCTTCTCTTGTAAAATTACATTCTGTAATAGTTAGCTTTCAAAGTCCTTGCACAGAACCCATGCACAGAACAGCATCAGACCTGTGTGATTTATTTCCTGTCTTTGGAGTTGACTAATGTAATTATGAATGAATCATAAAATCATAAAAGCTTTTGGGTTGGAAGGGACCTTTAAAGGTCATGTAGTCCAAGCCCCCTGCAATAAGCAGGGACATCTTGAGCTAGATCAAGTTGTGCAGAGCCCCGTCCAACCTGACCTTGAATGTTTCCAGGGCTGGGGCATCTACCACCTCTCTGGGCAACCTGTGCCAGTGTTTCACCACCCTCATTGTGAAAAATTTCTTCCTGACTGCTATTGGAATTTGGCTTCCAGTTTCCTGAGGTGACTTACATATTAAAAAAAAAAAAAATAATCCTGGATAAAGACCTTACACAGAAGCGGGCAGAATATTTTACCAATAGTAAATGATTCCCCAGTCAAACTTGCATAGTATTTTTGTTGATGATGGGTGGTGCTGACCATTTTTAGCATAATTTATTTCATCTGGAGGATGAACAGCTAAAGAAGAAAATTTGAGGTGAGAAAAGTCAGCAGATATAGTGGGCACACCAGAAGCTGGAAATACTAAATTTAACATGTAAATGTGGAATACCTACCCTCTTCCATTAGGACATATACGCATGAGCTGTGCCCATGTGAACCTCAGATAATGAGGTAATAGGAGGCATTAAACTAATGTTTGAGCTGGTTCAATCCAATCTGGCTGAGTCTTGGAAGCAGCAATGACTACAGTCACACAAAGGCAAAGCACTTTTGCTGTAATATTCTGCATGAATGTGCTGCTTCAGGATTTGCCTCAACTTTTTGCATTTTGGGTTATATCTTAAAATTCCAAAACAGTATTGTTCCTCCTTGCTGTTGCAAGGTGTCTTTCCTCTCCCTCATAATAATTTTTCAATAATTTCAAAGCAGATACTCCTCCCCTCCTTGAAACTGCTAAACCTCAGACTATCTTCTATGTTACTGAAGTGGATTCTGAGTGTTTGATAACGTGATAAGAATGAATGTTTAGATCCAGTTGCTTGTAGTAAAACAAGAAGTATTTTGCTGAAAATAAAAAATATTAAACATATGGATTATGTTGTCTGTTTCTTTGTGTCTAAAATAAATATCATAGGCCAATTTTTGTGTTTGTTTCTCTAGTAGAAATCACAGACATTAGTTGACAAATTGCTTGAACTGTCATGTTTGGGTCCATGTTAAATTTTTTTGATTAAAGCTGTTTTTCCACAGCCATCCAGTTTAGAAATTTCTTTATACAAGATTTGTATAGAGTTTCAAATACTGATTTCAAGTCCAAAAAAAGAACTATCAAGGTCCTTTTTTTTAAAATCATTGAGTGTTTAGTGAAGATTGCAGTACAAGATTTTTGGAGGAAAAGCCGTATTTTCATGTTAGTGGAATGACCTATTTTGGACAATGAGGCAATAGTCCTTGCTATAGCTGCTTGCAATAAAATACACATAGGTACAGAGAGTTTTCTCCATAATACACATGCAAAACAGATAGTCCAGTTTTGCATGTATAATTATGGTTCTCTGAATTTGATGTTTACACCATTTCTTAAGTGATTACTATAATTTCCTTTACAGCCTGGTTAAGGGCTTCATCTTGTATTACACATTAAAGCAAACAAGGCAAAGAAACTGCAAGTCAGACTAATAGGATGAATCTGATTAAAGAATTTCCATAAACTCCTACTGAAGTGCCTTCTGTACTCTTGAGAAACTCAGCTGTAAACAAAGGGTCTTCCTTGTTTATTAGATTCAATAAAATTACTAATATACTGAAACAATAGTTTAATTTGGCTTCATATTTGCACTTGTTTTTTCTCTTGTTTGCAATATCTAATTTTAGTCACAGTAATATGTGCTATTTTTTCAGAGTTTTCTAATAAATACAATAACAAAACCATCTTTATCTATGTCTTGTAGAGAAACCCACTTTAAGTTGATTTTTTGAAAGCTTTCTAAATGGGAATAAACCACCAAATCCAACAAATACTTGGTTTATAGAAGATTGGGGTAATATTTAAAGCCATTAACTACTGATTTTAAGAATAAGGTTATTTTTATTTCTGAAATTGTAGCATTTTAATCAAGCTCTCAAATGTGCACAGAGAACGCTGGAGTTCCCAAGAGTTTTGGGCCTGCCTTGAGAAATCTGCAATCCAAGACAAGAAATTAGTGAAGATGTAAGCAAACATCTCTGAGATAGGCCATATGATAAGCCTCTGGTCTTGCTACTGCTTTATGCTGGGTTGATAATTACAAAGTATGTAAGATCTGCTGCTATTTTTTCCTCTCTGCTGCTCCAACAGAAGCACACTTTACCATCATCCCTCTGCATACATGAAAACCTTGTCCTTAGAACACCTTCCTACTCAGTAATCAAATGCAATGGTTGGCTGAAGTTCTCTTTTTGTTATAATGAATTAATTGAGCCTGTACCTCAGAAAGAAGCAGAACTGGGAAAGAAAATACTACAGTGTTCCATAAGCTCAACCAGCCTATGGTATCAGAATGAATGATTTTTAAAAACCTCCGAGAAGTTCTAAGTTGATCTAGGAATTTTAATATAAAATACCAATAAATTAAAGTTTGTAGGGGGACAATATCTGCAACACACACTAATCAACTATATTATTGGTATAGTCAAACTGACTGACAGCCACTTGTCAAAACTGTGCGGTGCATTGATTCTAGCTCTACTTCTGTCTGGGACATGGAGGGAAAGTTGAAAAGAAAGTGGTAGCTTCCTAGAATTCCCAAGGGGATAGCTGGGCAAATAAAATGTCAGCAATCAGATGGAAAAATGTA